TCCGTGTTCCCTCCCGCAATGACAAGACCTGCCGGATCCTTCGTGGAGACAAGGAGGACGTGGTCATCATCGATCGGCTCAAGGCTGCTGTTACGGAGTAGCCGCCGGACCTGCCACCAGGAAAATTTGTGGCTGACTACCTTTCCCATGTTCCACCATCCCGTGCTCCTTCCCCATCGATTCCCGCAATACTTCCTCTTCCTACAGTTTCCCAGCACTCAACTACTACGTCACCCTCCAGAACCGTAACAACCACTCAGTTCTCACCCACTGTTCCTCCCGCTTATATTACCCGCAGTGGACGTCACGTTCACTTCCCTGATCGATTAGTCTCAACTTTCTTCTAAACTTCAGTACATCATCCGGCGTCGTTTTACGCCGCCCTTCAGTCTCGGAGTGGGGGTATTGTGACAGCCTGAATTAGGTAGTGCTCCGCGTATTCACCTCCTTCTCATCTTCTCAACCTTTGTTTACTCACGCGCCCAGCACTGACTCATTCTCTGCGTGCTCTTGTGCTTTTGCACCTCCGCTGTTGACGCACCTTCGCCCGTAGCTAATCGATACCTCGCGAGGTCTGACGCCAACACCTGCACGCTTTCCTGGTTGGCTGATGACTGGACAAGGTTTCGCTAAAGCCGCGCGCACAGACGCTTACACACCGACTCGACTGACTTCTGTACGCGCTGCTTGCAGCAGCTCCTGTAAAGCTTCTTGAGCAGTAAATTTGTCCGATTTCATTCAGTCTTCCTAGACTTGTGATTTGGGGATCATTCTAGTGTCGACGCAGCAACTAGCCCTCAATAAAGTAAGGACAGGGTTTCGACTAACTCCACGGCTAGGTCTTTCTACAGCTTTGCAAGTATTCCATCTGGATCTGGCGACTTCGCTTCTTGGAGTTTTAGAAGTTCTTGCAGATCAGTAACTTCCGTGAGGTCAACTGAGTCAATTGGCAGAATCTCTGTACTCAATTTAATGGCGGTTAGCTCGGCCGCTCTCGTAAAACTCCGACCGAAAGGAGCGGGATAGATGTTCAGGTTTTGCACTGTTCTCGCAAAGGTCTGCACCGGCATCAGTTTTAAACAAACGTATGGGGTCCCTATTTCGAGCACATTGCCTAATGTAATTGTAGTAAAGCTTAGAGTTTCCTACTGCACGGTTTATTATGTCACTTTTGAGGCTTTAGTAAGTTTTTTTTGCAATGATCCTAACCCTATGGCCTTGTACTTGTGTTGCCTCTCGATGGTCTTCTCTCTGAGCTAGGACTACCACAGCTTTCGTTTGCGATTTATTTCCCTCTCCAGCGCGTTCATTAACAACTTAGGCCTGTTGGTGACTTTTATTTACGAGATAGGGCAGGATCTAGTGATTAATCCGAGTGATATGGGCATAGACGCCAATCAACCCCCCCACTTCACATCCGGCGCTATCTTGTGGGAACAACCGAAAACCGGGGAGAGCAACTTATAGAGAACGATCACATTTCTGCTATACAGACGACATCTTGTTCCACTTGGCATACACTGCTCTTAAGCTCGTCTAATTTAGAGAGCGGGCTTTGGGCATTGGTGCACCTGTACTCTACGAACTTTAGTCCGTTGGAATCTAGCTGTCAGTTCGAAGTATTTTGGGCTGTTTTAAGAAAAATGTCATATTCTTTTAAACTGTCTTCCCACTAAAGCTTGCCAGGCTGGTCCTGCCATTCTTTATTCTCGACTTTACTTCCGCTACTAGTCCCCAGCATTTCAGTCGTTCCGCTGGGAAATAGTCAAGTTAAAAAATATCGTTATGTGAGCGACAAAGGTTGGTTGTTCCTTGATGCCCAGCATAATTTTGTAAGGATGAGGTAGCGGCGTATCTGTTGTATCTTCATCCCTTTCTTCGACCGGAAATGCTTTGAGAACTGTACATCCTACACCTGGTGGGCACAGATTGCTCAGAACAAGATTAAAGGAAACCAGGTACCGTTTGCCTTGGTCTTCTAAACTGTCTGAACTTGATTCTTTTACCCGCCGAACAACTAGACAGTGATGACGATCCTGTCGTTGTGGGGAGACCTTAGATACAGTTCTAGCCCTATTTCATACTGTGGGTCTCGGGTTCGGGCTGACTGAAGTTGATGCTTCGCTAACATGGACTTTTTTGCGTATGATATGGGGGTTCGCTAGGCCAGGCACAACAACGTTGGGGGTCTTCAAATTAAGAACTGGCACATTTATCTTTTTTAGCGGGGGCCTTAACTTTAAGTCTAGAGAGTTAAAGTCTCTATATATTAAGACGTGTTTTAAAGGGTAGATTTGCTTGACCTTTGTCTCGGTAGGTCTGATCCGCTTGTTTAAAATGGACCCCTTGGCGGGCAATTAACGTTTTTGCTAGTGACTTGGTGCACGTGGTTGCTCCTGCTCTTTTTCTGTTCTAGTGCAAGTCATCGACGGAGAGGACCCTGCCCCCCCCCGTGGACGCCTCCAATGCCACTTCCCCTCGGAAATCGACTAATTGACCTCTCCCTCACTGGCCAGTGTTTATCCAATTTTCATATTACAATTTCTCTGTAATTCCCTAATACATTATACTCCTCCAGTTATA